AGTTTCTGGAATTAAGTTACTAAAAGAAAATCTAAATTAGATTTTAGGTTAGTCTATCTAAATTAGACCATTTAAATCTGGAAAAATGAAGGTTTCTGGAAAGGCATTAATGCTACTAAGTGAACAAGTGCTTAAATAATCTTTCCTGAGATAGTAAAAGTTTCAGAAGAACTAGAATAAAAATTATCTCAACGGCAGGAAGAAACTTGCAAGTAGCAAAAATGGAGGTTTTCCATCTCCGGGGGCCTGGTCAAAAGCCTGAAATCAAATAAGACAACAGACATGCTGTGATCAAGTCTGGCTAAAACCAGCCACATGGATCATGGTAGGGTAAATAATTAACCTGCTCTGAGATCTATTATAAAAAGATTAGTGAGAAGCAGAGGTAAGCAAAACCACATGATATAAAATAAAACCAGTCTTTAGACACATTCTACACACTTGAATGTGGTGTTTAAAACTATACTTTTTAAGCATATTAAAAGTTTCAAATCCCAATAGTCTTACCTTTGTATAACTAACAAGTGCCTAATATTAGACTAAACCCATCATCTTTTACAAAATTCCTTTTCTCCTAACTATATAACTTTATCCTCTAACAATAGATAAATAACCTGTCAACAACCTAGTAGCCTATCGCTATACCTTTCTGTGTTAAGTATCTTGTAATATTATCCTCTTAAACATTAAACTCTCCATGCTTATCCTGCAATTGTACAAGTTTAAAAACTAGCAAGACAACCATTCATGGGGAAAACTGAAATGGAAATTTTATCTAGGGTATACAATTAAGTTTTTTTTAAAAAGACAAAATATGCTCTGGGAGGTAAAGCAGTTCTTTCCTTTTGCTTAAGAGTTTTCAAATGCTTTTTACAAAATATTTTCCAAATTTTCTATAATGAGAATGTATAATTTTTAATAACCAAAATGTATTTTAGCCAAAGTCAGATTAGTAAGCTTAAATAAAACTTTTATAACTTATTCTAAATGTTCTCTCCACTAAGCTTCCTCAAACACATGCTCAAACATTCCTTATCAGTATTTAACCATTTACATGAATAAAAAAATCCTTCTTTTTGAAATTTTCCTGTCTAAAATTAACATATATAGTAAAAACAGCAAAAATTAGTAAAACAATGGCAACTCACTCTGAATGTTCCTATCACAGAAGTACTATTTTACTAATAAAATATTAATAAAAGTTAGTTATTTTACTAATAAAAGAAATACACCCACCCTATTTCCTGAGAAGGAGCAAAGCATTTTATTACTTAATACAATATTCAGACTGCGTAAGAGGAGAGCAGCCTGAGTGCGTGCGCACACACACCCGTCACCACCCCCGGGGGGCAATCAACAGGGCACAGGCTTTGAGGGTTCTTCCTCCCTTTTCCTTTCTCTCTGGAGTGATGATAAATTGCACTGACCCTGCACACATCTTAACTCTTACTGAGTGACCCCACTGAGACGCAAAACAATGAGAAAAGACAAATAGCCTGCTCCACCTGTGACTTTCCTTCAATAAGTAGTTTAAAGGTTACCGTGTGTAGGGTGCTGTGTTAGGTACAGGCTTTTGAGAAGTAAACCTGTCAGACCCACGCAGAGCTGACTTGTGGCCTTGGCCTCACCACGTTCCAACGGCTCTACCTCCCCCTGCTGTGACTGGGAGTGGGCAAGCAGCCAGGCCAGTGCCACCCCAGGACCTACCACCCGTAACTTCTCCTTTACCCAATCCCCCTCCTCAGCAATCTCTTCCCAACCAGGACTTCTGCAACCCGAACAGGAAGGGACATAATGGTCCCAGTTGGTGCTAACAATGATTACAGACCTGCCTTCGTGTAACAGTCCATGACCCATATTATAACTTTCTAGTCCTAGGCCACCCAAAACTGCTCTACAACTCGCACCTCAATTTCCAAACCTTGGCCCCTCTTAATATGTACCAGGCCACTTTTCCCACCGTTTCATAATTATTAAGTACACTATTTAATATTAGGTAACTACTATGTGAAATCTGAAGCCACTTGAGTGACAAAACAAACACCATGTGATACTGAAAATACATCATTTCACGGACAAATAACAAGAGGCATTTCGAGAGGGACCTTTGCAAATTTATTCACTGCAATCTAAAAAGAATCACTCATTTGGGTCAGGCTATAACACTAACTTAAAAAAAAAACTCATTTTCACATGTTAGCACAAGAGTGACCTAGAATAAGACATACCTGAAGAGATGTGTTTTTAACAGTTACTTAATCCAATTCAGGTATTGCCAATTTGCTCAGATGCCTTAAGTTGACAAATGAAAAAAATCAGGTAAACTTTACTATTTCTAAAATGAAATTCCAATTCATCATAAATATTTTCAGATGTTGACTCCCTGAGCAGTAGTATCATTCTCTTTAGGTCCAACGCCTCCTCTTTACCACACCACACACATGCAGCCCCTACCTCATCCATGCTAAACAAACTCCTCCCCAGACTCTGGTAGGAGAAATGAGGGACTCCGGGAAACTGTTCTCTGGTTTGCAGAAGTTAGTGATCCACCAAACTGCAGAAATAAACAACAGGCCCTTTAAGGCCTTCCCAGTCTAATGAGGAGACGAGAGAAAAATTTACAGCACAGCAAGGATGATAAATGCTATGGAGATTACAAAAGCTCCATGAAATTATGCGGGGGATAGAGGAGGGTGGGGACCGACAGGAGTCGGAATATCCGAGTAAGGCCACCAGCTTGAGAGACCAGGAAAAACGCACCAGACAAGAAGTGGAGAGGGAGTGTTCAAAGTCTACCAAAATAGCATCTACAAAGGCATAAAGGTAAATATCTTTACTTTTCTTGACTGTCAATTTTCTAATTCTAAGATGAGTTGCAGTCTTCTTTAAAGAGTAAGATTACAGATGACTTTGAGATATTCAGCATTATTTTGGGAGTGCATCAGAATTTATCCAAATATGACTACAGACACAGCCAATTCTAACACTAGTTTTGGAACAATCTTATTTGACCAGGCAATGATGTTTCCATATTCACCAACAATACACACACACCACATTGCAATCAATTAATGCACTTGAGTGAAAGCCCTAGAAAGAGCTTTGGAGCCTGACAGTCTTCAGATCAGAATCCCTTACTCAGAATCCCTTACTCAGCGTTTGACTTGGCAAATCTCTCCCCATTTTCCTAACCTAATTAGAGCGTATATACTTATTAATATGTTTACCTGAATACTGTTTGTGTCCCTCAACTAGATCGTAAACACCATGAAAGCAGGGACTGCCCTGATTACTACTGTTTCCCCCCAGCGGCTGAGGCCAGTCTCTCTCCCTTAGCAAGTGCTAAGTATGTACCTTACATACTTGAGTGAATGAACGGTGAGGAAAGAGTAACACATCACTCCCGAAGCAATAGACTTTGACAACGAACTATGACCAGACAATCTGTATAGCTCAGCAATCTGGCAAGATTATCACTCTCAAAGAATTAATTAGCACATTCCTTCTGGAACAGAATACGGTAATAACTGGCATATCTAAAAATAATTAATCCAAATGATCCTGGGGAATCGTTTTTAATAAAGTCCCTTTAATATCAATGATTTCCTAAAATGTAAATTGCGAGAAAGAACAAACATCCATTTGGGGAAATGGATTCTTCAGTGATTCATTCTTCAACCTGATTTAATACTGTAGATTTTAATCCCACCTGACTTCAGCCATTTTTTGTACTGTTCCTCAGCGTGCAGTATAGAATCTGCCTCTAAAGCATCCTTCCAATCTGATTTACCACTCCTTAAAGAAAGGTATATAAAATGTACTACCCTTAAATCGAAGATTGCTCGGGGACCTCCTTATGCAATCGGGTGCACAAAAAAGAGCCAGTAAGAGCAGAAGGAAAGATTTCAGATATCTTTAATAACATAATCACTGGGCCCACATTGCAAAGAATAACTTTTTTTCTGCGAGGGCTCACAATTATGATCCCTAGATGTAAGCTCATAAGGAGCTAATGAAACGAATTTGCCCCATCGTGTGGAAAACTGTGGCCTTTCTGGCCAGTCACGAAAACACCAAGATTTAAACGCACCCACGTTTTGCTGTAATTAATTCGGGACTTTGCAACAGGCATTAGCACTCTTCCCTTAAGGTCTATTTAAATGCCCCAACCAAACGCCAACAACAACCCTCACAGTCAGTCCCTGCACAGAAATACTTTCAGCCACACACAGATCTGTCTGATGTATTAAACCAGTCGACGGGGAAGCTTAAGCTGTTTTCAAGATTAGCGTGGATTCGTAAAGACGAGACTGCCACCTGGACACATGGTTGGAAAACGGAGAGCTCGTTGCTCAGGTAGAGTAGAAAATGGGAAAATTTTCAACAGCACTTATTTAAAGTTTCCACCTTCACACACACCCCCTTCCCCTCAGCACCGGGTGGGGGCCTGGGCCTCGCCAGAGGCGCGCGGAGGAAATCTGCACTTGACTTCCGTCCTCTCCCGGCAGGAATGAGACCCTGCCTTCCTGCCGGCGGACCCCCCACCCCCGCTCAGGGCCACCTCCCCGCTCCGCGCACCGCCAGACGGAAATGGAGAGGCGCTGCTCCGCGTCCTTCCACCTCCAACCCCAGCCGGGGCCCGCGCGCCCACAGCTCGGGGTGCGCCTCGCCGCTCCGCCCCGGCGCCGCGGGAAGACTCGGACAGTTGAGCCCGGGGGAGCTGACGATCGGTGCCCGCGCCCCGCCGCGTCCGGCACGGTCGCCCCCGCGCCGGCCACCCTCGCGCCGCCCCGGCTCGCCGGGTGCCTCCCAGCTTCCCGGGGATAGCTGAGCCCTCGCGCTCCCCGCCCGCCGCCGTCCAACCGCCCCCGCCCGGGCCGCGGGCCCCCGCGCTAGGCCCCGCGGGCCGCCCGGGCGAGGGGCGGGGACAAGGGCCGAGCCGACACCGCCCGCCCGCGGGGGTCCCGGGGCCGCCCCCGCCGCCCTCCCGCCGCACCTACCATGGTACAGATGGAGGCGAATTTGGAGACTGTCATTAGGATTTCCATCCGCCCAACGCCATCTTCCACCCAATCACAGCTGCGGCGGCGGCGGGCGGGGAAGGAGAGGAGCCGGGCCGCCCGCTCGCACCGCAGCCCGCGGGCGGACCCTGAGCCGCCGCGGACCCACGCACAGAGCCTGCTCTGCAGTCGCTGCAGTCCTCGCCGCCGGCGCTCCGGCACTCCCCGCCTCGGGCCCCAGTCCCCGCCTGCCGCTCGCCCGCCCGCCCGCCCCCGGCTCCTCCCCGGCGCAGGGCGCAGCCGCTGCCTCGGGGCCCGCGCCTGCCCGCGAAGCCGCCTGCCCGCGAAGCCGCCCGCCCTGCGCGCTGGGGAGCGGGCTCTGCCGAGGCCCTAATGCCCGGCCTGCCCGGCAGCTGCGCGGCACAGCGGCGCGCCCCGCCCACCCGCCGCGCGCCCAGACCGCCCCCGCGCGGCCCCGCCCACTCCGCCGCGCACGACTCTTCGGCCCCGGAGCGCGCGAGCAGGGAAACTCCGGCGCGGCCCCACCCCGCGCTGGGTCGGACCCCGCCTCCCGCCCGCGTCCCTCGCGGTCCTAGAGCCCGAGTGCCAGCAGAGCCCTGGCTGCGAGTGGAGTGGGGGGGAGCGGGGGGAACGGGAGGAAGGGGGTCGTCCTCTCGCTGCACGGGCTGCGGCGACCTGGGTAAGTCCGGGAAAGGACTGACCCGCAGCCTCCACTAAGGGTGAAAGGACAGCTGGTGCCCACTCCCCAAATAGAAAACGGACGTGATGATCTGGATAATTCTGGGTGGGGTGGGAGGAAACCTGCTTCTGTACATTTGAAATAACCGGGCAATCCAACATCCCAAGCATTTAACAAAATGTCAGGTGGTCTGTCTCTTTGACATATAGTGGGTGAATCACCTGAGTCAAAACACCATAACTTAGCAAAAGAGAATTAAAAATGAAACTATATATTTAGCTCCTTGAATTAGGAAGAAAGATAAGTAATAGGGAAAGGGGGCCAAGCAGCCTTCCCGCCTCCCTGCTGGCCATAAATTTAGAATATGTTTATAAATATAGTACCTAAATATATTTGTTCTGAAAGTTGAGTTGCAAAACAGGGACGATCTCAGCCCAACACCGATGATGATGTTATCATAGACAAGAAGTCTCCTGAGTGAGAAAAATGTCCTGTGAGAAATATTTAAGCATGGTCAGCTAGGGGTAGAGTTCCTCTTTTCTTTTCTTTTTTTTTTTTAAGATTTTATTTATTTATTTGACAGAGAGAGACACAGTGAGAGAGGGAACACAAGCAGGGGGAGTGGGAGAGGAAGAAGCAGGCTTCCCTCCGAGCAGGCAGCCCGATGCGGGGCTCGATCCCAGGACCCTGGGATCATGACCTGAGCCCACAGACGCTTAACGACTGAGCCACCCAGGCGCCCCAGAGTTCCTCTTTTCTACTTTTATAAAATACATCATTGCATCCTGTTCTTTATATCAGGAAGCTCAGCTTTATTTTTTCCTATTTGAGAAAGTAGTTCAAGTTAGAATAATTTTGTTATATTGGAAAGCTTGAAATACTTCCCAATTGGTGAGCTGCAGTGATGGGGTGCCTTTTGGGTTCCCCCATTTCAGCGTGCCTGAAGACCTGAATTCAGATGAAGCTCCAAGATCAGATATGCCTTGCCCAATAGGTTCAAAGCATTCGAAACACAAAACAAAGCAAACAAAATTTAGGTGCTAAACAGACTTCTGGTAGATGAATGCTGTTTCCATAGTGATTTCCATTGTAAGCTTGCTTGGGAAAAAAAAATTGCAAATAGAATATAGGCAAGTCCCGTAGTAGCTGGCCTGGTTCTCCAGGCACCTACATCCATGGAAGCTGGGACCCTCCCTCTTTGCCCTGATACCCAAGCCAGTGGCTAGGACCCTGCTTTTCACCACCACACATTCAGGATCTTGGAGTGCTTGCCTCCCTGTCTCCCTGCCTAAGACTTGGAAGTATCACCCACCTGAATTCTTTCTATGTTCTACTCTGCTTAGACCCCCAGGGCCTACCAGTGTCACCATGCTCCCAGACCCTGTCTTGCCTATTTGGGTAAATGCCTATTGTAATGCTGCCCTCCCTTCTACTATTCTGTTCCAGGAAACAGGTCTGATGTGCCCAAATTTGAGCCCTGCCTCCATCTACACTGTCCACCAACATGCATCTTTGTCCATGAATCCTAAAATGTCACAGGAACAGAAGCCGCCAGCTTTACACATAATTTTACATAAGAACAGGACTTTTAAAAATGGGTTCCTGTAGAATTATCAAGAGTTGTGTCTAGGTGATGTCATAACTGTCTAAATTCATAAGGGATGCCATAGATCCTAATTGCAGAACTTCACGATGCCTTGTCTCCCCAGCCTAAAGTTTATCGGTGAGGCACAGATATAAAAAGAGATTCTTCTATGTGCTAAGCACAGCAACAGGGTGTTTTTTAACAATATGTAATACAGTTAAGATTTGATTGAGGGTTGCCTGGGTGGCTCAGTCGGTTAAGAGTCTGCCTTCAGCTCAGGTCATGATCCCAGGGTTCTGGGCTCCCTACTCAGCAGGGAGTCTGCTTCTCCCTCTCCCTCTTCCTCTGTGTTCTCTCTCACACGCACATAAATAAATAAATAAATAAATATTAAAAAAAAAAAAAAGATTTGACTGAAACACAACCCTATTGTACCCAGAGCTCAGAAGGGGTCATCTGGATTTAGAACCCAGTTTTTACCTGCAGCTGTATCAGCTTTACCACAACCTTCACTGTACCTAGAGAAAGGTGGGTATGTGTACAACTGCATTGTCAGTGCGCAGTAATATTTTGGTAGGAATCGTTTTTCTCAGCAGCAGGTCTCAACGGTGGGCTTCCAATGTTCGGTAAACCATGTTGTAAACAGACGCGCTGTCATCCGGGCTTTGTTATTCCATGTACAGAGCACAGGCAGAGTAGGCTGAGCATCGTTCTGAAGGGCCCCAGGATTTCTGGAACGGTCAGTGAGCACTGGCTTCAACTGAGGTCACCAGCTGCGTTAGCCCCTGACAGGACAGTCAGCCTGGCCTTTGAAGCTTTGAAGCCGGGTACTGACTTCTCCTCTGGAGCTGTGAGTCCTCGATGGCATCTTCTTCCAGTAGAAGGCTGTCCCGTCTACACTGAAAGCCTGTCGTGGAGTGTAGCCACCTGCATTGCTATCGTAGATGGACCTTCTGGAGAACTTGCTGCAGCTTCTCCACCAGCCCTCGCTGCCTCACCTTGTGCTTTCTGTTGTGGAGCTGGCTTCTTTCCTTCAACCTCGTCAACCAACCTCTGCCAGCTTCAGACTTTCCTTCTGCAGCCTCCTCACCTCTCTCAGCCCTCACAGAATTACAGAGAGCTAGCTAGGGCCTTGCTCTGGATTAGGCTTTGGCTTAAGGGAATGCTGGGGCTGGTTTGCTCTCCTCTCCAGACCACTCGAACTTTCTCCATATCAGCAGTAAGGCTGCGTCACTTCCATATCATCATAACATAGCACTTTTAATTTCCTTCAAGATTGTTTCCTTTGTGTTCTCAACTTGGCTAATGTTTGGCGCAAGAGGCTTAGTTTGGGGCCTATCTCGGCTTTCAACATGGCTTCCTCACTAAGCTTAATCAAACTTCTAGTTTTGATTTAAAGTGAGAGACCTTTCCTTTCATTTGAGCACTTAGAGGCTACTGTAGGGTTACTAACTGGCCTAATTTCAATATTGTTGTGTCTTGGGGAACAGGGAGGCCAGTGGAGAGGGAGAGAGAAGGGAGAACAGCCTGAGCAGTCAGAACACACATAGTGATTAAGTTCATTGTCTCATATGGGCACCCCAAAACAATTACAAAGTCATTGCAAGATCACTGACCACAGATCACCATAACAGATACGGTAAGAATGAAAACCGTTGAAATATTGCAAGAACTAGCAAAATGGGACCCAGAGATATGAAGTGAGCACGTAATGTTGGCAGAATGGCTGGACACATGATTGCCACAGACATTCAGTGTAAAAAACCACAATATCTGTGAAGCACAATATAGGTGAAGAGCAATAAAATGAGGTATGCTTGTGTACTTCTTGCTATTTCTTTTCTCCCTGAAGGCATTTGTGTTTGTACCAACTAGCATAAATAAATGAAATGTTGCCTGTGGTGGGGTGGGGAAGGAAGTAGGCAGAAGGAGGTAGAGTTGGGGTATAAGACAACCATAATGACAGGTAACTGTCAAATGACTGAGGACTTTTCTATACACCAAACGATTTATCAAATCCTCATCATAACCCAGTGAGGTAAGTGCTATCATTAATCCCCATTTTCTAGGTAGGGAAACTGAGGCACAGAGCTAACTTTCCTAGATTGCACAACTAGTAAGCAGTGGAACCAGAATTTGAACCTGGCTGCAGAGATCACATTTGTATCCACTCTGCTATATCAGCTCATGTAAAAGTGCCTCATTTTGATTCTAGTAGGATGAGGTAAGTTGAGAGGCATTGACTCCTTTGGGACCCACATGCAGGTTTTAGTTATGAAATATATTCAAATTTTTTTTCTCAGTTTCCCTCTCTGGAAAAGAAGGGTAATAATCATGTCTACCTCAGAGGGGTGCAGCAAGGATAAAACGTGGAGACGTGTCTAGAACAGTGCCTGGCACTCAACACAAACCGGAGAGCTTTGAATGACCACTCGAAAGTCAGTATTTTAAAAATCAGGGTGGGCACATACAGCCCTCAGTCTGCCAGTTTACTCCCCCAGAATTAGTGAGCCTCTGCTATGTGCCAGACACCTAATTCGTACTTTAGGTACATTTTCTTTTTTTTTTTTTAAGATTTTATTTATTTATTTATTTGTTTATTTATTTATTTATTTGACAGACAGAGAGAGAGCGAGAGCACACACAAGCAGGCAGAGGGAGAGGGAGAAGCAGACTGCCTGCTGAGCAGGGAGCCTGTTGCGGGACTCAGTCCCAGGACCCTGGGATCATGACCTGAGCCGAAGGCAGATGCTTAACTGACTGAGCCACCCAGGTGCCCTTAGGTATATTTTCTAATGTAAGCCTCCCAGTGCCCTTGGAACTTGATCATTTTGGGCTCATTTTACCACATTCATCATGGCGCTGCCTAGCCAGTGCAGACCCAGGAGCCACACCACACACTCGGACTTGAAAACCCATGATCTCTCCCCTTCTTTACCCTGCCCGTTGACAGTCCAATGAATCAACTTTCTTGGTGGCATTAACATCGTCCTGTTGTTCAGAGGTAGATGTTAATGAAA